TGAACAATGAGATCACTTGGACTCGGGAAGGGGAACATCACACACCGGGGCCTATTGTGGGGAGGGGGGAGGGGGGATGGATGGCATTGGGAGTTATGCCTGATGTAAATGGCGAGTTGATGGGTGCTGATGAGTTGATGGGTGCAGCACACCAACATGACACATGTATACATATGTAACAGACCTGCACGTTGTGCACATGTACCCTAGAACTTAAAGTATAATAAAAAATTTAAAAAAGAAAAAAAAATAGTACCTGCCTCAAAGGTTGCTGAGAAAATTCAATTAGTAAGTATAAGATAATCTTATCAGTTTCATACATTTATGAAGAACTAGAAAAGGTTAGCTACCATTATTATTGCTAGTATACAACTTAAAATACTTGTGATTTCCCAAAAAGTTATTCTTAAAACCAAGCACAATCTCCAGAGATTAGTTATGAATGTGATTTTAAAACTATTTCCTAAAAATAGAAAAAATGCCTCATGAATGCTCAGTATTCCAATGTTCAAGGAGGCAGTGTTCCATGCTCTCAAGTCCAAATCACCTTTGATTTATTTTGTATACTGGAGTTGCAAACAAGATTTAGTCTGGGAAAAAGAGGTTTCACTACTCTTAAAAGGAATTTAAAAACCTAAGGGCCAGGAAAACACTTTACATGTCATAAAAGGCTCACTCTGTTTTAAGAAATGACATAATAAAGTTATTCAAAGAACCATGAACAATTGGGAAGCGGCCAATTTTTATTTAAGCAATTATTATCACTTCACTTTGTCTTTAACGATCTTGATGTGAGTATACTGAACAATGGAGAATTAAAGAATAAAAGTGCTTAATTTCTAAGCACCATCAAACAATACAAAACTTTATTATATATATTACATCTCAATTGATATTGCTTCATGAAAACAGTAAGAATATAATATTTAAAATTAAAAATGGCAAACAAAATAGCATGACCTACCAATATTGGGATAATATCTATGAATATTTTTATGACTTACCCATTGGGCTAAAGCAGTTATTAATAATTAGAACCTCTGAGTCATTGCCTCAGAATTAAAGAAAAATTTTCTTCTGAAGAGCCTAAAAATTAATAATTTTTTATCACTAAGCACTCTCTAAAAGCAGGATAAAATAAACCAAGTGTACCTGGTGTCCAGCCTTTACTTGCTTCAAAACATTTTCATAACATACTTCATCCATGTTATTCAACTGCTGCATCTTAAAGATTTTAAAACATTAAAAAAAATCAGATGAAACAATTATAAACTTTCTAACCACAAATAAAATTTTGCCAATTACAATGCATTTTTAAAAATTTTCAGACTACCTAGAATGCAGAGGTAACAAATTCCTTACAAACATATAACATATAACAATCCACAAAAAAAAATGCAATGCGACTTAAAAGTACAAATAGAATAACTCAGATAATAGTTTCTGAGTACTAACTTTCTAAACCCACCAAGTTTTTAAAATACAATATCTTTAAGGATATTTTTGTAGTTACAAATATTCTAGGATAATTTTTAAAGTTCTCTCTGCTTTTCCGAGAAGCCTATTCTCCAGGCTATTTTCCTTGTATTTCACTATATAAACCATACAACACACCTTTCCTGTATGATTCTCAATGTTACGAGAACACTACGGATCAAGTGTCAAATGGCACACAGAGCTGAAACATACGGTAACACACTACTTCTGTAATGTATACTGAGAGAGGATGCTATTCAGAATGCTTCTACAGAAACATTTTTCAGATTAATTGGAAATCTAATATAAAATTTATGAACTAAGAAAGGATCTCTAAGTATTTAAGGTGATGGATATCCCAATTTAACTGATCTGATATTCAGTCAAATAGATTTGACTAAAGATTTTCATGTGATAAGTTAATACATTCATATCATTATCAATGTATTCATATAATTATGAATGTATTATGCCCACATATGCCCAGAAAATATGTAAATCTACTATGTATCAATTTAAAAAAATTTAAAAGGGTCTCATATTCCTTATTAATGATGAGAAAGCTTCTAACCTAAAAGTAAGGTGACTAACCCAAAGGAGTAGGCATGTGACCCAGCCTATTATCTCTCCACTTAACATGTATTAGTAAGAGTTTAGAGGAGGATGAAAAGCATCATGTACATCTAAAATGACAGTGATTTGGATTTTTTGTTTCATTAAGGTAAACACTTTAAAATATTGTAACTCTTATGACTTATAGTTAACTAGGATGAGGTGATCATAGGATAATTTACTCCCCACGAATAATTTAAAAACAATCCCCATCCCCTACAAAAGACAAAACTCCCAATAACTTTTTCATTGTACTTTGGATTCATTTCTGATCAAAGCCATTATTCCAAATTAGGAATAACACTCACACCATTCTCCCATTCCTTTCATGATTATGATGGTAATGTACTGTAGTGAAATATACTTTGGATTTAATTAGTTTTAGGTGATTTACCAATTTGTATGATGCAACTGAAAGAAAATAAGGTTTAAGATGGCTGACAAGCATGTGAAACAATTTTCTTCTCTTTACATCTCTCTGTGATAACCATCTGCTTATCATTTAAATTATAAAGCTGAAAACATTCTAAAACTATAAACGATGCAGTTCTACATCTATCCTACTGATATATCGAAAATGAACTAAATAATCAAATTATATTGAAACAACTGAAAAAAACAAGCAGCAAACATTGCTGAAAAGCAGCACTGGAAACAATTAAGAAGTTTAAAATATGCATAATTGTATATCATAAACTCTTCCTTTGTGCACAAGTCTGAAATGACTCCCAAGAATTCTAAAGATACCTTACTTTCATGCAATGCAGTTACAGGACATTAACTGTTATATTATAGTAACAGTCACTTTGGATATTTTTAGGTGAATATTTTACTTATAATAGTGTAAGGTAAAAATGGCTCTATTTTACTAATAAAATTGTTTTTAGACAAGAAGTGACTGTAATACATTAAAGACTAAGGTTGACATAGTAACGTATGATTCTATCTTATTCTCTTTTAGTAAAAATCTCAAAAGGCCTGTAAATATTTTCCTAAAACTATTTCTTCTACACAAAAAATAGGTGTTGTTGAATAGCATGATAAATGTTTAAATTTTAAGCGATGTTTCCCTTATTATAAGTCTATAATAAGCACCCTAATAGTGTGAATAATATAGGTAGTACTAATTTTAAAATTAGATAAGCTTTTTAAAGCATAGAATTTTAGAAATGCCACTTATATCTATAATAATTAAGGTAATTATAGAACATTATAAGTTAAACGGAACACCTTCCTTGATGGTTGCTACTATGAAATTTTTTTTCAATTTTATATGAGGTACTATTATTTCTATTAAATGCTTGTTTAATTAGAGTTTTGATTATTTCACAATGCTCTTCAATCATTTCACTTCAAAATAACTTTTTAAAACTTTTAACAACTGAAAATATGTAACACACATTGAAAACAGCAATGCAAACTATGACAAGCTACTTTCTGTAGGAGGACTTACTCTACTACAAATAGTTGAGGAAATATGCTGGAAATATGCTGGAATGTTATGTCAAAAGACTGAAATGGTCTTTTGGAGTCTCTAACCCCAAACAAGTATTCAATAATAAGTCAACAAAAATATATTTAGATAAGAATTAAAATGAGTATTTACCTTATTTGTACATTTAATCCCCAAAAATGTCTGTCCAAGAGGTACTGGTCGAAAACGCCCATCAAAGAAGAAAAGTCCAATGTATGGATTAACATGTAAAAATGTGGCAACGTCAAGGTAGTTAGGTAAAGTTGCAGACAGTCCAAGAATCCTTATCATACTCTGTGTGGATTCAACCTATATGGATTATTTTAATTAAATGTGGGTTATTTAAATTATTTTAACCAAAAATTTATCATTTATCCTATTAATAGGACTTCTAAAAGCTCTAGACAGAGACGAGTGTAGAGGTCAATTGACGGTCCTATCATGTAAGACTGTCTAGCCCATAATTCACAAGCTTGATTTAACAGATACATAATAAAATTCCATACCCACTATAATTAAAAATACACACGAGGGGTGAGTGTGTTGGCTCACACCTGTAATCCCAGCACTTTGGGAGGCAAGGTGGGCAGCTTGCTTGAGCCCAGGAGTTTGAGACAAGCCTGGGCAACAAGGCAAAACCCCATCTCTACCAAAAAAAAAAAAAGTAACTGGTGTGGTGGCACACATTTGTAGTCCCAGCTACTCAGGAGGCTGAGGTGGGAGGATCACTGGAGTCCATATGATCGTGTCACTGCGCTCCAACATGGGTGACACAGTAAAATTTTGTTTCAAAAATAAATAAATGAATAAAAATAAAAATGCAATGGGAATTAAGAACTTTGTGACAACTAAATATATTTTTAGGTCACAAAAAACTCAGTAAATTCCAAAAACTGAAAATCAGATAGGCTATATTATCTGATTATGATGGAACATACCTAAAAAGATAAAAACAAGCGATGGCCAAAAACTTGCATTCATTTGGTAATTAAAATATATCAGTATGATTTTCTGAGTAAGCTGTTAATAATTTTGCTCAGTCTAGGAGATTCAATGGGTATAAGCAAAGTAGTCCAATGTGAATAATACTTTCAGAGTCATCCATCCATCAACACTGGGTTAGGATCTAATCTGCAGGCACTAGGGATGCAGTACTGAATAAGACATAGATCCACACATGCAGAGACTATTTGCAGAAACATAACAAGGGAGGGATAAAAAAAGTAGAGATGGGTAAAAATTAAAGTAACAAAACATATACAGTATCTTTTTATAAATTTGTTTTCACTGAAGAAATCTTACAGATATTGGCAAAACCCCAAACCAAATCCCATCAAAAGCAAGGAACCCTAAGTAAGGGGAAATAATCGCCAGACCTATTTTTAAAGAAACCTCTTTCACAACATATAGTAATTAGAATGACTAATTACCTCACAGTTCTATGTAGTACTAGTGGTGATTTGGAAGGAAATGAAAGTGATATTTGGTTTTAAAATCATCACGTAAAACACAAGAGTTACAGAATATATTTTTAAGGTTGTTTGATGTTAAAGACACAATACTCTGGCAAACACTAGACATTTTCTGCTAAAAATCCATTTTAAAACAACCATATTTTTAAATCTAAAAGTATAATTATAATATAGTTATTTAATATAGTTAAATCTATCTGAGAAACACTTTATTTGAAATACAAATAATCTGGAATGTTATGTCTAAGCCAAACCTTGAAGTCTATACACTATACCTATTTACCTTAAAAGTATTAATTATTGACAATTACAAAAAGTTAAAAATTTACAGCTTTTCCCCTATCATTAGCTCAAGATTAGACAGTATATTTCTGTGATGTTTTCCTTCACACAAAATTTAGTTCTGATAAAATCTCCCTACTTACTAAAAGTAGGTTAAGATAATTATTAGTTCATGTTGTTAAATAAAATAGATTTAAGATTTCTTATACTTTCATCTTTTCCAAATTTCTCCCAATCATGCCAAGTGTGTTAAGAATTTAGTCCCTAACATCACCATGCAAGTTCAGAACCTGAACAAAATCTACATTGCCTTCCAATAGCTTCCGAAGGCGCTTCTACATTAGTTACAAATGTTGAAGTGTGATGTGATGTGCCATCTACTGGGAACATTTGGTAAACACAAGGAACTTTGTAATATTTCAAAATAACTATGAGCATTGTACTGATACTTTAAAATATGAAAAGATTCACACAAACAAATCTGTCAAGGAAGCTGAATTCTAGTGAGTCATTTAGATGAAGAAGAATTCACTATAGTAAGTTGTGAAATTATAAGGAAGATCATCATAAGCGTTAAAAATATGTTAAAAAAAAAAGGGAGTGCAAAGAAAACACAGAAAAGGTGTAATTCATTCTGATTCAGGAACTAGGAAACACATCATAGAAGTGGCATTTGATGGATTCAAAAGAACAGTAAATTTTCAATAGATGGATGGGTGGAGTTACAAAAAAAGAAGGCATTATATAATTTGGCATTTACAATCCTTATCTCACAACCAACAACACATTCTGCCTCAAGTTAGATTAGTTTCGTTTTTGAAAGAGGGTCAATGGTATTTAAAAGGAAGTAGGGAAAAGATCAAATAGTTCTGTGTTACTGGAACCTTTGGTAGCTGATAAAGATGTAGAAGTTAAAATTAGACAGAAAGGCTTTAATAGTTTTTAATGTACAGCTAAACAATTTGACCATTTTTCTTAAGATAACAAAACAGCAAGTCAGCAAAGGTTTATGGGCAAAGTGGTACAAAACTATGTAATTGGAATTTGATTATAATATACAGATGACAATGTGAAGATGAAATTATTATACATCTATAATATATATGATATACACTTATATCATATATTGTTATACTATATATTTATATAATATATTGCATATAATACATAATAAACTGATAATATATAGTTTGATATAGTGTATAACATTCATGGATTTTATATAGAAACTATACTATTTACAATTTATATTTTAAATATTATACATTTATAAACAATTTACAAAATTATTTGTAAACTTCCTAAGGTTATAATGCCTGCTTAAAAATATTATGATATATAACGTTATATCTATGTGTCTTTGTACATACATACAGAAAGGATTAGCACTAAGACTACAATCTGTTTTCTTTTTCTACTGGGGATGCACAGGAGAGAAAGATGTACTGTAACAGTAAAATCCTTTGTAAACATGAATGACAGACCTCTTGGAAAATATACTAATGATATTTACTAATCTACTAAAATGATATTTACTATCTAATGTTCTATAGTTACAGAAAGTCCTTATCTTTGCTGGATGGACATGGTCTCTGTAGGTGGCTCGCTGCAAATAAATGTGGTGTATGGATTGTTATAGCGTGGCTCCTTGAAAAACATCACTAAGTTAAGTATCAGGGCATAAAATCAAAACATTTCATAATCAAACTAGCTCTCCTTTGTGTAAATCATGCCCTGCATGCTTCTTTTATGAGACCTCATGTATAACATGTGGGCCAGAGCACATGCCTTGTAGGAAAAATGGACCTGGAGAATAGAGATGGTAGTTTCAGACTTCTCCATACTTCATCCGTGTCTGATAACGACCTGCATTTAAAAACTGCTCTTAAAATGGATTTTAGCTAAAAGCTGTTTTTTATAAATCGGCTTTGAAAATTTCAACCCTTTGTATTTTCTGTATGTGTGTACATATACACATATTTTTAATTTATGTGGTAAAAACTAAACAAGTCCCAAATACTTCTACAATTCCATTTCTACAGAAGAAACCACTTCTTAATTAGGTCCTACTTGTCAAATTTTGTTTTTGTTGCAATTGCCATCTCCCACTTTTTAGTTTAATTAGGTCCCACCTGTCAATTTTTGGTTTTGTTACAGTTGCTTCTAGGGACTCAGCTAAAAATTCCTTGCCAAGGCCAATGTCAAGAATGGTGTTTCCTAGATTTTCTCGTAGGATTTTTACAGTTTGAGGTCTTACATTTAAATCTTTAATCCATCTTGAGTTAATTTTTGTATACAGGGAAAGGTAAAGGTCCACTTAAATTCTTCTGCATATGGCTAACCAGTTACCTCAGCATTATTTATTAAATAGGGAGTCCTTTCCTCACTGCTTATTTTTGTCAGCATTGTTGAGGATCAGATGGTTGTAGGTATGTGGCTTTATTTCTGAGTTTTCTATTCTGTTCCACTGGTCTGTTTTTCTGTTTTTGTACCAGTACCATGATGTTTTGGTTACTGTAGCTTTACAGTATAGTTTGAAGGTGGGTAGTGTGATGTCTCTTTTATAGTACACTTTTTGCTTAGGATTGCTTTGGCTATTTGGCCTCTTTTTTTTGGTTCTATATTAATTTTAGAATAGTTTTTCCTAATTCTATGAAGAATGACATCCAAACTTCAGCATCATGCAATATACCCATGTAACAAACTTGCACATGTACCCCTGTATCTAAAATAAAAGTTGAAATTGAAAAAGAAAGAAAAGAAACCACTCTTCAACTTGTTGCCTATCTTTTCATGTATATGCACCCAATTCTACACCAGCCTAAAATCTAAGTGTAAGCAAGAACTTTGTTTTGTTTATCTATAGCATTTAGAACTATGTAGCTGGTACATGTGTAGGTGCTTAATAAATGTTCATTACCTGAATGAATGAATGAATAAAAACATAAATATACTGCAAGTTTTTCTTACACAAATGGGATTGTGCTATACATACAGAACAGCTTGCTTTTTCAGTGAATAACATCTTTTAAGCCCAGTTCACATAAATAAATGTGGAATGTATAGATTGTTATGGTATAGCTCCCTGAATATAAATAAGAGCACAGAGTTCATTCTCACTTTTTTAAAAGGCGGCAAAGCAGCATTTTATTGCATAAATATACTATAATTCATTAAACAATTTCTTCTATTATTGAATATTCAAGGTATTACCGAAATATTTTGTATTAAAAAAAGAGCTTCAATGAATACTGGTATTACTATATCTTTATAAATTTGTGCTATTATTTCCACAGTTAGATATACAGAAGTGAAAACATAGCATTGATTTTGCTGGATGCTTTCAAATTCCATTCTGTTTTTATTTTTGTTAATGTGATAGAACAGAAATGTCTCTTCTTAAGCATCTTTTAAATATTTCTCAATAATTTTTTCTACTGTAAAATGCTCCTTCCAATTAAGATTATTTTTCTTATTAATTTATAGAAACCTATTAAATATAAATGATATTAGAAAGTTGTTTTCTGTGTTGCAAATAATTTGTTATTTGGTCTCACATTTAAAATTTTAGGGGTGTGTTTTATTGATCAGAATTTTAAAATAGTTATGCATCCAAATGTGACACAGGTTTCCTTCATAACTTCTCCAGTTTTGCATATTGCATAGAACTCCCCCAACAAGATTAAAAAAAAAAAAAACTCTCCTATGTTTTCTTCATTGAACTGGGAGCTTTGTTTGAAACAAATCATTAATCCATCTAGAATTTTATGGTGAATGTATAAAATAAAAAACAAACACTTTCAAACTTTTAAAAAATACATTGTCACTTATTGTACCTACTTCTTTACATTTCCACTTGAATCTGAATCAGAGGTATTTAGAATAAAATATAAAGAATTGATATCTAATTAGATATTGGGATGGAAGAAAGTATTAAGGAAGAGGGAAAATTTGACTATGACTCCTAGGGTTTTGGCTTCGGAATCAAGTAGATTACGATACCATATCTAGGTATATAGGGAAGATGACAAGAGTTCTTACATGTTTATGGGCAAAAGATGTCTATGGGATATCAGAGTCAAAATATACAACTGTGTTATATATATATATATACACACACACACACACACACACGCATACACATCATACACATATTATATGTACATAATTTAGGTAAGATGGGTAGAGAAGTGGTTTTCCCTAGAGTAAATATTTAGAATAAAGAGAGAAGATGGCAAGTGACAGAGTCTTAGAGAACATAAACAATAAACATTTCCAGATTGAGAACAGGGAAGAAGCAAGGAAGGCTGAGAAACAGTAGCTACAAAAATCAACCAACAAACCAAAAAACACAAGTGAAAGTAACCAGGACAGGGTGGTATCACAGAGTCAAAGGGCAAAGAGTTTCAAGATTGAGGAAACAATCAGTAGTACTAAGCATCAAAAACGAGTAGAATCAAAAGTTAAAAAAAAATAGGTTTGAAAACTATCTTTCAGTAACTGGTGATCTTGGTAAAAACATTTTATTACCTATGTTTGAGCAATGACCAGACTGCAGTGGTTTAGTTAAAAGGGAAACTGAATCGAGATTAATATTTCCAGACACTAGGTGGTGGTGAGGGATAGGCTTAAGGAAATTTTTTAGTAAAGACAGAAGGGACTTTGCAATCCTTTTAAGCCAAAAAGACAGTGCCCACTGAGAAAGAACTTAAAAGACACAGGAGAAAGAAAAGGGGTAGCTTATAGAGTGAAAGAAATGGGGTCCAAGGCAAGGGGAGAAAGGACCTCTGAGAAACGAATAAGGGGTGGAATGAAGGGTATGCTTCATTCCACCCCTTATTCTGGGCATTTTCCTGTTTAGGGAGAGGAAGGAAAAGGAATGGAAATTGAGAGAGTTAAAGAACGAGGGACTCTATTTCCCTTTCAGTACAAAACACTGTTGTATAAGAATAAGGCATGACAGGGTGATGAAGAGTGAAAAAGGGAACTGGTGAAGCTTGAAAAGGGTCACATTAGGGACACAGAAAAAAAGCTGCTTAGAAGTTACAAGGTAATACCAAGGATTCATGTGAATGTAGTCTAGGAATGTCTACTCTAAATCACAGTCTATGAAGGTATACTGATGCCAGTCAGCATCTCTAGCAATCTTTCCCACTGGTAATCAGCAATCTGGCTGGAAGTACAGACATGGCTCAATTGAGTCACTGTTGTAATTTTGTCAGGTGCTCAGGGGATAAGTAAGTAAAGTTATTAAGAAGATAAGTAATTAGTCATGGAGTCTCAGCTATTTCGGAAGAAAATAAAGGCAAGAGAATATGAATACAAGACAATAAATGAGGAGTCAAGAAACTAGAGTTCTTGATTAGGTCAAAAAATAAGTGTTCATCTACTTTCTATATATGTACAATCTACAAGAAAACATCAGTTAAAAACTCATGAATATTATAAGATATCCTGTCTTTTCATTTAATGAAAAGAATGTTGACAGAAAATATCTTAAGACTCTTAGCATTAGGAATTTACCAATTTTGGTTTGGACTATTTATGAATAGCCAATGAGGTCTAAAACTACGGACAACAGGCACATTCCCCCTTTTAAAAATATGAAGATTATGTCAACAGTAGATTTAGCTTTGTAACACAGGTCTACAATTAAAGTTTCCTTACATTTGTTCTGTTTAATTAAAGAGACTGCAATAAAATACAATTTGGAATAAAAAAAGATAGGTGACTTTTATTATGAAAATAAAATAGCTAAAGTTTTCTCCATACTAGAATTATGTTAATTCCCATGAACAATGCATATTAATATTTCCTTAGAATGCTACATTTTAAGTTGAAAAACATATTTATCCCTTCAAAATAAGCTTATAAATAACTTCCTCTTACCTGCCGTAAAGTACGGGCAACTATGCTTTCTAATACTGGTCCTCTATCTTCATGCAGCAAATGAACTTCATCAAGAATAAGGAGCTTTACAATCTGGGAAAGAGCTACATCTCCAACACTCTTTCTTGTCACTACATCCCATTTTTCCGGTGTGGTCACAAGCATCTATAAGATAAGACAAATTTTAAAAGAGGAAAAGTTACATAGGTTATTTAAAATTGAACTGTGATATTCAGAAAGAAATATTTTGGCCACCTCTATATAAATCAAATAAAAAGTGTTTAGAATAGCCTAGAATTATATCTAATTTACTATAGACAACAGTCATTTCAAGACGAACTCTCTTTAAGCTGTGATATTAGGCAGTTTAAGCTCACTGAAGGTCATTTGCCAGTGAATTGTAGGGCAAAGTATACAAAATACACACTTTTTTTTTTTAAAAAAGTATCTTACAATGAAAAAAAAAAAGAACACTATTTTTTAAAGTAGCATATACTGATAATGGTCTTTATTTGAAAAGGGACTAAAAAATGATGAAAGCATTAAAAGGAAAGAAAGAAAAATCAACAATTCACTCTACTGATAATCTAACTTTGGATAATGACAGATTAAAAATAACCCGAGATATAGTATCATAAATATACCCAGAGATCACTTACTAACAATGCTTTTCATTGAAAAACATGCCCATGTATTGTAAAACAAAAAGACACCATAATTCTCCTAAACTTTAAATTAATGGCACATTAAAATATAAAACTAGCTAGTTATTAGTAAATATTAGGAGAGGTACAAAGTAGATTATTAAATTACAATAATGTGTAATTTAACAATTACAAAGCTATCTACCTCACCACCAACTTAGAATAAGTATGCCAGCCCTTTCTTATTAATTTGCAGAGAAAAAATGTGGTAACAAATTATAAAATCAAAACTTTCGGATATCAGAAATTATTCCTAATTTGAAAATCCCAAATCCAAATGCTCCAGTGAATATTTTCTTGGAGCAGCATGTCAGCACTCAGAAAGTTCTAGATCTTGAAGCATTTTGGATTTCAGATTTTCAAATTAGAGATGCTCAACCTGTACCACCAAATCTTAAAAATCCTTTCTAGTATTTTGTTTTCTATGCTTTAATTTCAGCACAGTAAGAAGTGGCTTCATTTATAATACTATTTTACTACTTCAGTTCCCTGAACTAAAATGACTAGAAAATAAAGTGTCATATTTGCTTAACGAATTGGAACTCATGCAAGACATTTCCATCTGCTCTTGCATTAGGGCCTGGGTTAACTGTCAATATTTTTACTGTCAACTTAAATTTCTCTCAGTACATGTACTTAATCCCTCGGCAGTATAAAAATCAGTATTCTAAACTGTTCCAACTTTAGACTGTCCACTGGGAAAATGGCATAGTTGAGATGTTTATAAACCACCATTATGCCAAACATTTGGTGTATTTAATTTTTAAATCTCATTAATTTCACAGCAAAACCAAAGGACCTAAGACTTGCCAGAACCAATTCATCTTAAACATTATTATTAAAAACTTTCCTTACAGCTGTATATAGTAAAGTTACACTATTTCATTTTCTACAATTGTTTAATGACTACTCCATTATTGTTTATCCTAGGTAAAGTGTATTCCTCCTTGAGGAGGGGACGAGAAGAGAAAAACACAGTAAAAATTTTAATCTGAACTTTTAATGATTAGTTGCATAATCTACTAATTGAATACTATAGCAAGCCCTATATCAAACACACCAGAGGGTAGTGCTTCACTGAATGAAGAACATCTCGCCCAAATCCACATATTCATAGACTTGTCCCAAACGGAATTTTTTGAATTTTGAACTAAAGAATTATGGGAGAGATCATAAAACCTCTCGTGAAATAATGCCTCCAAGATAAATGAGTTTGTGCATTTTACATTTGGTTCTTTTCCCCCCCACAAATTACTAGATTGAATTAATCTAATGCGCCTTAAGAAACAGAAAATGCAAAGATTCAATAGGTTGAAGGAACTTTTACTGTGTCAGCCAGGCAGCAATTACAGGCAGATGACCAGCTACAGTGTTAGACCCCAGAGCTATGGAGCTATGGATCTGAACTTTCTGTTCTGGGTTTGTAACAACAACAACAACAACAACAATAACAAAAAAAAAAAGGGTCTAAATATATTTTATTCATATTTTTACTCTACAAGTAGTTATTAGAGGCAAAGATTAAAAATGATTAATGTTGTTAACATGGCTTCACAAAGAACTGAGCCAGAATGAAGAGAAAGAAATCAAACTAGTGGTTTGGAGGGGGAGGGGGGAACAGACAGAAAAGTGGCAGTAGGGATCATTCCAAGGAGAAAAAAATTTTTCTATACCTTCTTAAGAGTGTGGCTTACACATGTGCCAAAACAGTGTATCTCTTCTATTTGACTGTAAGTCAAAGAAAGTCTAAAAATAAATTTTTCTTCCCTAAAGATAAACATCTGCAAACAAAACATTATTCTCTATGTGTCAAAAGTAACAATCAAATTGTCTAACTAGACATAACAAATGCAATATGTGAGCTTGGGAACAAACATTAAGCTGCACATATAAATGTTACTATAGTATATAACTATGCTATAGTGCTTAATATTCAGTAAACACAGGAGTCAAAAAATTAATTGAAAATAATGAATATTTTTTTTTCATATTTAATAAAAAAACACAAGAAAGAAGGGGGGAATGATAGAGTGACAGACAGACAGTCAGACAGAAGTGACATCACTATACAACTACCATAAAAGTTAGAATGAATGATAGAAAATACCAGAGGATATGTTTACAGAGGATGTGGAGCAACTAGAACTCTCCTAAACTGACGGTGGAATATAAACTCACACAACCACTTTGAAAAACTGCTTGGTAACATCTAGTAAAGCTGAAATATGCATGCGTTGTGACCCAGAAATTCCATTTCCTAATATACTATATACCCAACAGAAACACACATATATGTGCACCCAAAGACATGTATAAGAATTTTTATTGCCATATATATTATAAATATTATATTATAAATACTCCAAAATCAAAAACAAACCAAATGTCTATCAACAATAACATGGAAAAATAATAATATATTTATACAGTGGAATAAAATACATACTGAACAATAAAAATAAGTAAACTACTAAACTATATGCAACAGCATGGAAAAAAAATTCATATTAAGTATAATCACTTTTCACCTTCTCCTTTCCTACTCTCTCCTTTGCCAAGAAGTCTCTTCCCAAAAACGAAAGCATCCATAGCTGGGGATGGCTTATGATAAATCTCATATTCCATGTTTATGGGGCACATGTTAGCACTTAGGGAAGAAAGCGCACTTGATGATAGCATGAATACGTCAGAAATAGTCGTGCCAATTCAACCTCATTTTCACTTCGGATAAAGTCAACAAGAAGGTAGTGAAGAGAAAGCACCAGACACAGTATATACGGAGTTTTCTGGAAACTTTTGACAAAGCTTGCCCATGATATCTTTATGACTAAGACAAATCAAGAAGGCCAATAATACAACTATGGGTTTCTGAACAATCTCACTGAAAGACTGGTACTTGAACAAGAGCAAAAAGTTAATCAAAACCAAAATAGTCATTATTTTAGAATGAAGGAGCTAGTGTGAGGGGGTAAATAAGACAGGGAGAGGACTAGAGACATTAAGAGGAAGAGAAAGAAATAAGGAGGGAGAGAGAATGTGTGTGTGAACAGAGAAAGAAGGCAGAGAGAATGTGTGTGTGAACAGAGAAGACATTTTATGGAAACGTTTCAACTTCTTGAACAAACTTGTAGAAGAAGATCTTGAACAAAGATCTGTTAGAGCAAATGTGTACTGCAAGCTATGCTTCAATTTTTCTTTAGTGAAAAAAAACTAGCTAGACAATGATGCACCTAATCCTTAAAACCTTCCAATTTTAATTGTTTCATTATACATAAAATGGAGTCCTAAGGTTTTTTTTTTTTTTATTATTGAGAATACACATCTGGCTTAAGACACAAACATGTTTGTGATGCATAAAAGTAGTCTGTTGTATGTTTAACTCATCTTATTATAGCTAATGTGAAGTTATGCAAGTCATACTGATATATTGAATTTTAAATAATTTGTCATTTTGACTATTGGAACAATTTGTTTCTTTGAAGCACATGGCTAAAACGTAGATTTAAAATTTTGAATCAAAAGGAATACACAAATTTTAAAGATAAGAGTATACTTTCTTGTGTTTATAACATTTAAAACTGATTTTGAAATTTTTAGTACGTAGACTGTAGTAAACTGGGAACAAACGGTAAAATTACATATGTGACTTTTTTAAAACCAGAATGATAAAATATCAAAACATAGCCACTAAAATCCAACAGTACATTACATATCATCAAATCTCAGGAGCCACTGATTCCAGCTATACCATATTTTATTGTCACTAAGAAGGTGAAAAAATACCACTGGGCTGTGTGCAGTGGCTCACACCTGTAATCCCAGCACTTTGGGAGGCCAAAGTGGGAAGATGACTTGAGGCTAGGAGTTTGACACCAGCCTGTGCAGTATAGTGAGACCTCGCCTCTAGAAAAATAAAAAAATAAAAATTAACTGGATGTGGTTGCACACGCCTGTAGTCCTACAAGGGGTTGAAGTGGGAGGATCACTTGAGCCCAGGAGTTTCGGACTGCACTGAGCTGTGATCATGCCACTGCACTCCAGCCTGGGAGACAGGGCAAGACTCCATCTCTGAAAACAAAACAAAACAAAACAAGACAAAACAAATGCCACTACCAAGTATACTTTCAAAATGTATCTTACAATTGATAAAACATGGTACATTAAGTTAAAAAATGTTAGGAATTTGTTAACTAAGCTAAAGAGCAACCTTCAAGAATGCTTGCCTAGTACATCTTCTGTGGTGAAAATAGCCTGGAATTGCTACAAACCACATTCTAACATGATAGGTGTAGACCAGGCAACAGCTTGCAAGATTTAAGAAATACTGTCTTCCTCTCTAAAATACATAATCACATACTCAGTCAACCAATAAGCTTATAAATTATATGAATGTTTTAATTTAAAGATTAAATCTAAAATGTCACATGGTTTACATTCCATAAACATACATATAATTAGTTA